GGTTGGAGGTGTAGGCCCCCCAGTATGCTTGACATAGGCCAGCACTAGGTCCCCTCACTCACCCACTCTTTTTCTGTTCTCTTCTCTGTAGGGCTTTTAATACAATTATATATATATATATATATATATATATAACTAAACGAACTTTATGGTTGTACGGCAGTGAAGCATCAGTGCCAACACTGATGTTGCTGTCATTGATGATGATGATGATGATGATGATGATGATGATGACTGGCACCTTAAAAATATCCTAGCCAATGTACAACCAGTTGAAAAAGTGCACTCGAAGCGAAGGTGGGAATGTAAGGATGTAAGAAAGATTCGACGTCACTGTGATGATGATGATGATGATGATGACTGGCACCCTAAAAATATCCTAGCCAATGTACAACCAGTTGAAAAAGTGCACTCGAAGCGAAGGTGGGAATGTAAGGATGTAAGAAAGATTCTGACGTCACTGACTCTTCGTCACCTTATAGTAGCAAGAGAATCCTTGGACCGTGAGTAGCAATCCGGATTTCCACCGGGTAGACTGTGTCCACCATGTCTTAAGACTCCATCATAAGCTAAAAAAACGTCACATGTACAAAGGAACCAGAATCTGTGTTGCTTGACACCAAAGGTGGGCTCAGTTCCGCTAGTTCGCCAGTGTTTCAAACTATACTTACCCAACCTGGTATGCCCTTATATTCACATACTTTCAGGTGTATGAGTGTGCGGAAAGTTCTTTAGGAGCTTCCTTACAGGCGGCGGCGTCTAGAAACAGCGTTCAGTTTCGACGTTTTGTCAAGTTCGCCATCAACCGGAAACTAGACAGGTGTTGGATGCTCTCTGAAACGCCGGAGTCCAAATTATTCACAGAGGGAACACAGACGAAAATTCCTTGATTAAACTGACCGCCGTCATACTATTTTTCGGCATTTAACTTACACGTCCAAAGTACGGAAGCATGTATCAGAACGTGCAGTCTCTGAACATGCGGTTTGCAATCCAAGAACCTTGCATACATGTGGTTGTATAAGCTCTGACGAAAGTGTTTGATGAGGTCAGTGCATGAATCTCAAAATCCAGAATCGCCAGGCTGCTGCTGAGTTGCTTCACCAGGGGGTCAAAAAAGCACACCAGTGGGTCTCAAGGGTCGCATGTATATGGCTACAGTAAAGAATGCATTGTTACATGGTTGCAAGACACGGCCTCTGCAGACAAGTGGTATGTGGGATCTTTAGGATCTTGACTACCGACATCTCGAAGTTTTGCTGGTATCGGACGGTGCCAACGAATCAAAACAAGACAAGCGGAAAACGTTATTTGGTTGTTCGGTGGGTACTTCAGTTTCGGAAAATCAGCAAATTCAATCGTGGTTGTCTGATCATGTGCTGCGCACGCCGAACCATGCAAAGTGGGAAACATGCGACATAGCAGAAAGGTGAGAGATTACGGGAACTTTTTGTTCTGTTGGTGCGGGCCACCCTCCAGGGGGGATCATCGATGGCGCTCCGCACTCGACTAGGGACATTGCAAGAAAATGAGATTAATAGGTGTGTGGGTCATACAAATATCAACATTAATAATCCCATTGATGAACTTAATTTTCCCATTCAAATGTTTTAAAAAGGGAAGACGAGATGGGGAATCCCTAGGAGGCTTCGAACGTGGAAAGTGAGAAGTGATAACAGACCACTTCCCATATTTTACTGATATTACCTTGTGCGGATGAACTGTCAACTTACAAAACAATGTCCTCCACTTAACCGAATTCCAATAAGTTTTCACAAGTTAATACATAAACTTACCGTATTTTGGATAGTATATTCCATCATAATTTCAACGACAAGACAGAAAATGGAGAAATCCAGCGAAACCTTCTAGGATAGAAGTTTCGCACAGCTCTAACATGACAAGTACGAGAATAAGTGGGATGGGGCATACTCACAGACTTTAAGGACACTCCTGTTGGCTAAGTATACGCATAAATAAACTATCCACGGGATGAAGGTATACGTGAAATCAAGGAAAACCATTACATTAGGTAGACGGTATGTGCGACGGTAATTCGGAGCAGCACAAACCTGAGGCACTATTATGAAACTGGCAAAGAAACGTCCTGGTGATTCTTCTAGGGAATCAATATAGAGATACTGATGAGAGCGGATGCACTTTGGCCCACTAGGTACTCCATACATTACCGGTTCCATGATGCTCCAAACTTACTGCAGGTTATTTGAAGATCCCGGCAAATAAATGACCAGTGAAGGGCAAAAGCTATCATTGCGCGGGTGTCTGCGACTTACAGTTATGGAGGTTGGCTGAACCCATGGACGGAATTTTCTCTGCAAATTCCACCACATAGGAAGGAAAGTAGTTCACGCAACAACCCAGAAAAGCGTCCATTATCTTGTCTTTGGCGCTGCTAAAAACATCGGAAATCATGAGACTAGCAGATTGGTCTCGACAGAACATGTCGCAGAGAAATAGAAACATCGGAATTTTGACTGCCGAAACCACAACTGTCGTGATTTTATATCCAGTTTAGTGATCCGGCATGAGATAGATTGCACATAGGCAAAACCCTTTATTATCTGAACCAAACATTCCACTTTCTGCTAATTTGTATTCCTTTCCGGCACACTGAGGTTGGATGAATTAGACTTACACTGGTATTAAACTGCTAGGGTTCAGCGGACACGTGATACTGATTTTAGTGGAGCCGAGAGCGGACATTTGCTGTACAAGCTCCTCTGACTCCTCGACTTACCATGGTCAACATGAGCTAGGATGCAAACGTTTCGTATAGATCCAACGTCAGACGCCAGAGAAACCAGAGTGTCCGCGCGTCTGGCGAACATGCCCAGCAGGCGTTGACCTTCAGACCAAATAATTGACTGATATTCAGTTCAAGATATGTGTTACACTTCAGGGTCAAATTAAAGTGCCGAGGGTTCGTGGGTTCGAATAGGCCAGCATCTGACCTGCACGAACATGCGTAGATGGTATGAATGGTAAAAATTAGGCCGTTTGTGATGCTGTGCCCAGCGGTTAGGGTAACATACGTAACTATACTCATTGGCATTCGGATTGCAATTAGAGGTGCGTGATTGCGTTGTTCGACTTGCGCACGAAATGCAAACAAGCTGTGAGATAGGTTTGGATTTCTGAGGTGGATGTCTAACCATGGGCAATGGTTAGTGTATCGTGAGATTTCATTCCACAAATGATCACTTGCCAAAGATATGGAATTTCTCCCCAATTGAATCGATGAACGTCGGGGGAAGTTCTGCCATATATGCAACGGTATACATTATGGTGGATGCTGATAAACCGAAGTCCGTAAGGGTTTATGATGCACCTATGAAGGCAGAGGGGATTAGGTATGCAAAGATGCAGAACTAGAAGTCACTGACCAACCAGGAACTAAAATAGATACAGCAAGTGCATTCCACGCTGCTGCCACCAGAAATGAGAAAAAATTTTGTCTCATGAATGTGCCTGCCCGGAGCTTGAAATTATCATTACTATGTCCCCGCCGAGTGTTTACTGGGTCAACGGTAAAAAACCTGTTTTCCAGGCTTTGCTCAAACAGAGCGTACGTAAGAATTAGATCCCCTCGGAGGCGACGGTACTCCAGGGGAAAGAGATCAAGCATCGCGAGACGCGTTTCGTAGTTCACGGATTTGAGGCCGGCAACCCAGGCTCGGTGAGGGTGACGCCTTTTGTGCGTCCTGAGTAGACAACTTGGTTGGCGTACTCCAGGAGCGGTCTGACGTAGGCCCAATGGAGTATTTGGAAGTCCATGCGAGTAATACGGGAGAAGGTAC